TATAATCGGGTTGTATTGAACAATAACTCCCAAAGCAGGAGTTACCACCCCAAGCCCAAAGCCAATATTTGTAATTTCTGACAAATAAATAGTAAATAAACGGAATGAAAGAGAAATGAATACGTAATATAATAAATAAATAGAATGAAACGGAAATAAATGCATCCTAGAATAAATAAATGTAATGAAATAGAAATAAATAGATAATAAATAAATGGAATGAAAGAGAAATGAAGCTACCATAAATCAGCACAATTCAAGCTCATACAAGGAAGGCGCTGCAGCAAATCCTCCCCAGCCCAGCCAATTAGCCGGGATTAATTGGGCCGGGATTAATTGGGCCGGGTAATTAAAGCTCCCGGGAGGGCGGGGCCCGGCCTCGGGAGGGGACAGGGATGAGAGAGGGGACAAGGGACAAAGAGGAAATGGGGACAGGGAAGGGGACAGGGAAAGGGACAAAGAGAGGAAATGGGGACAGGGAATGGGACAGGGACAGGGGACAAGGGACAGGGATGGGGACAGAAAATGGGACAGGGAAGGGACAGAGAATGGGACAGGGATGGGAATGGGGACAGGATGGGACAGGGATGGGGACAGGGAAAGGGACAAGGAAGGGACAGAGAATGGGACAGGGATGGGGACAGGGAAAGGGACAGGGATGGGGACAGGGATGGGGATGGGGACAGGGGAGAGGGGACAAGGGACAGAAAATGGGACAGGGATGGGAATGGGGACAGGATGGGACAGGGATGGGGACGGGGAAAGGGACAAAGAGAGGAAATGGGGACAGGGAAGGGGACAGGGGAGAGGGGAGAGGGATGGGGACAGGGATGGGAATGGGGACAGGATGGGACAGGGATGAGGACAGGGACAGGGGAGAAGGGACAAGGGACAAAGAGAGGAAATGGGGACAGGGAAGGGGACAGGGATGGGGACGGGGACAGGGGAGAGGGGACAAGTGACACGGATGGGGACAGGGATGGGAATGGGGACAGGAAGGGACAGGGATGGGGACAGGGAAAGGGACAAAGAGAGGAAATGGGGACAGGGAAGGGGACAGGGGAGAGGGGAGAGGGATGGGGAAGGGGATGGGAATGGGGACAGGAAGGGACAGGGATGAGGACAGGGACAGGGGAGAGGGGACAGGGGACAGAAAATGGGACAGAGAATGGGACAGGGATGGGGACAGGGACAGGGATGGGAATGGGGACAGGGGAGAGAGGACAAGGAACAGAAAATGGGACAAGAAAGGGACAGGGGACAGGGATGAGAGAGGAGACAAGGGACAAAGACGAAATGGGGACAGGGAAGGGGACAGGGGAGAGGGGACAGGGATGGGGACAGAAAATGGGACAAGGAAGGGACAGAGAATGGGACAGGGATGGGAATGGGGACAAGGGACAAAGAGGAAATGGGGACAGGGATGGGGACAGGGAAAGGGACAGGGATGGGGACGGGGACAGGGGAGAGGGGACAAGGGACAGAAAATGGGACAGGGATGGGAATGGGGACAGGGAAGGGGACAGGGATGGGGAGGGGACAAGGGACAAAGAGAGGAAATGGGGACAGGGAAGGGGACAGGGGAGAGGGGAGAGGGATGGGGACAGGGATGGGGACGGGGACAGGGGAGAGGGGACAGGGACAGAAAATAGGACAAGAAAGGGAGAAGGGACAGGGATGAGGACAGAGGAGAGGGGACAAGGGACAGAGATGGGGACAGGGGACAGGGATGGGGACAGGGACAGGAGGGGACAGGGACAGAAAATGGGACAAGAAAGGGACAGGGACAGTGAGGAGGACAGAGAGGGGACAAGGGACAGAGATGGGGACAGGGGACAGGGATGGGGACAGGGACAGGGACAGGGACAGGGACAGGGACAGGGACAGGGACAGGGCTGGAGCCACCTGGGGTGGCAGGAATTGTCCCCAGGTTGTTCCCAGTGTGTCCCCAAGGTGTCCCCAAGCTCTCCCCACGGTGTCCCGAGGATGTCCCCAAGGTGTCCCCAAAGTGTCCCCATGGGATTTGAGGTCCCTCCCTGACGCCACAGAACCGCAGGAACCCCAAAATCCAAATCCCAAAATCCCAAACCCTGAATTTCCAGCCCCCAAAATCCCAAACCTCAAAATCCCAACTCAGAAATTCCAGCCCCCAAAATCCCAAACCCCAAAATCCCAACTCAGAAATTCCAAACCCCAAAATCTCAAACCCCGAAATCCCAAACCCCAAAATCCCAAACCCTGAATCTCCAACCCCCAAAATCCCAACCCCCAAAATCCCAAACCCCAAAATCCCAAACCCTAAACTTCCAACCCTGAAATCCCAACCCCCAAAATCCCAAACACCTGAAATTCCAAACCCTGAAACTCCCACCCCAAAATCCCAAACCCCCAAAATCCCAAACCTGAAATCCCAACCCCCAAAATTCCAAACCCAGAGACTCCAAACCCCAAAATTCCAGCCCCAGAATTTTATTGGCACAGAGAACTCCAAGAGTGCCAGCTCCAAACCCAACAAAGGTCACCAAAAACCCCAAAATTGGATTTATTACAGAAAATCCCTGCGGGGGTTTCAGCTGTGGGATATGCAGGATTAAAAAGGTGATTAAAAAGGGTTTTAATTAGGTTTTAATTAGAAAATGTAGCTGCTGTAAGGTAGGGAAGAAGCCAAAAGGAGAATATTTGGATTTTTGAGGCCAGGCTTTATTTGGACAAAATAAAAATTGGAAGTAGAGTGGGAAGTCAAGAGGAAAAGAAAAAAAAAAGTTGTACATTGATTTTTGGGAAAGAATTAATTCCAGTTTTTGGTGAGGAATCCCATCCCAAAAATAGATTTTGACCCCAAAATCCTGTTCTGCACCCAGAGGAATTCCAAATTCCACCAAAAGGAAAAATTTCATTGAATTGAAATAAAAATAAGAATGCACATCCCCTGCCAAGGGCCAAAGCCAGAAGGAAAAATGCAAAGGAAAGATGACAGGAAGCAGGAATTGTCCAGCTCTACATTTATTGGATTGAACATTTCTACCCAAGTGACACCAAAACGGGGAAAAATCTTCATTTTTCCTCTCCTGGGATGGAAAGCTGCACGGAAAGGAGGGAATCTGGGGTGGAATTCCAGGGAAAATCTGAAATTTGGGATGGAAAACCCAGAATTTGGGATGGAATTGCAGGGAAAATCTGGAATTTGGGATGGCAAATCCAGATTTTGGGGTGGAATTCCAGGGAAAATCCAGAATTTGCGATGGATGCCAGAGAAAATCTGAAATTTGGGATGGAATTCCAGGGAAAATCCAGAGTTTGGGGTGGAATTCCATGGAAATTTTAGGTTTGGGGTGGAATTCCAGGGAAAATCTGAAATTTGGGATGAATCCCAGAGAAAATCCAGTTTGGGATGGAATTCCAAGGAAAATCCAGAGTTTGGGGTGGGTCCCAGAGAAAATCTGAAATTTGGGATGGAATTCCAGGGAGAATCTGAAATGTGGGATGGAATTCCAGGGAAAATCTGAAATTTGTGACGGATCCCAGAGAAAATCCAGAGTTTGGGATAGAATTCCAGAGAAAATCCAGAGTTTGGGGTGGAATTCCATGGAAAATCCAGAGTTTGGGGTGGAATTCCAGGAAAAATCCAACCAAAATCCAGCAGAGACAGCACGGGAGGGAGGGAAGGGGCTCTGGGATCTTCATGGAAGAGAGCCTGGAATGAGAGAAAAGAGGGAAAAAGGAGAAATGGAGGGGAAAAAGAGGGGAAAGAGAGAAGAGAATAAAAGAATAAAACAGAAAAGGAGAGGGAAAAAACACAGGGAAAAAACAGAGCGGGAAA